CTAACTACAGTAGTGAATAGCCGATCAAGCCTCCGGGGCACTTTCATCCGCGGTGGGCTCTTCAACCTCGTCGGCTCCCTCCTCGTCGGCCTCATCGGCCTCAGCTTCTTGGCCGGCAGCGGCGCTGGTGGCATCATCTAAGAAGTCAAATTCAGTGTAGTCCGGCTCGCCGAGGCCGGAGCTTTCTATGGGGGACTCTCGCTCCGATAGCGGAAGCTTGGCCTGCTCTTCTGGATCCTTCATCAGCTTCGGCAGCTTCAGGTTCCGTCTAGCCCACCCAGACGTGTAATTCATGGCCTTCAACGCCCGGGATAGCCGCCGACACAGGAGCCTTTGCATCCGCTCCTGGCCCAGGTTGTAATAAACGGACATCTCCCGGCTGAAATATTCCCGGCCGGCAGGGGAGTTCATCCCCCAATTCTCCAGCCTGGCGGCCACCACTTCGTAGCACCAGGGGAGCCTCTCATCGGCCTTCCACCCCTCGGCCAGGAACTTCTCGACGGCCTCATCGGCAGCCTTCACGACGGCGGCCTCGGCCTCAGCCTTCGCTTTGGCGGCCTCCTCGCTCCTGCGCCTCTCGGCCTCGAGCGCCCTTCGGGACTCCTCGAGCTCCCTTTTTCTCTCCTCGAGCTTGACCAGGGCATCGTCCCTGGCCGCCGCGGCTTCATCAGCTTTGGCCTGCAGCGCCTTGGCATCCTCCCGGAGCCGGTCAAGGCAAGCTACCGCCTCGTCGGCCGAGGCAGCCTTCTGCTCCAGCGCTTGCAGACGAGCAATCTCCCAGTACTGCCTCTTATGGCTTTCCATAAGCATGAAGGCACTCTGCAGAAGGAAAACAAAGGTCAGGCAAAAAACTCTACACAGACGAAGAGAGACAAAAATATAAGGACAGTCACTTACTTGGACGAGGAGGTCCATGCCGCCCTCATAAATCTTCGGGTCCTCGAGCTTCTTCAAGTGAGCCCGATCTTTGGCCGGCATGGCCTTGGCCAGGACGACATGGCCGGGGACGAGATCATTAAACACGCCCCCCGCCGACGGGGTACTCTATCACCTTCTGATAGGTGGCACCGGCAATCTCCTTGCCGGCCCTCTGCGTCCGTGGTTCTTGGACGAGAGGAAGCGCTGGGGCGGCATCGTCAACAACAGTAAGGTCCACGACGGGACCACCATCGCCCACGCTGGGGACAGTAAGAGTACCGGCCTCACTAGCCGGAGAAGGGGAAGGAGCCCTCTTCGTCTTCTTAGAGACGCTCATGCCGGCCTCAGTCAGCTTTTTCTGGCCGTCACTGGCCGGTCTCTTTTTCTTTGATGGGGCAGGCTTTGGGGCCGCATCAGCAGTAGCCCCGCTCCCACCAGCAGCGGCACGTCGGGCCGCCTCGGCCGCCTTAGCAGCAATCTCCTCGGCCGCTTTGGCCTTGGCAATAGCCATCATGGATCGACGGTCCATGACAAAATCTACGAAGGAAAAACACAAACAGATTAGTAAGGCAAAGGACAAAACATAAAGACAGAAAGCCGAAGAAAGAATTACCATCGGCCTCAGCAGGAATGCCCAAGTCCGGCCCGTCGGCCTCCTCAAAGGTGGTGGTCATCCTCGGCCAGAGTTGGAGGTCATCCTCCTTGTCACCATAGACATAGTACCTCACGAAGCCGAGGGCGGCCATCTTGTACTCAGTGATGTAATCCTTCACGCTCCTCGCCCCCCCCCCCCCCCCCCCCCCTCCAAGAAAGCCTCCACCTGAGCGTCCAAAATAGAGCTCTTCGGCGGGTCGTGCAGGTTAAACCTCCCGGTGTGGCCGAGGGAGGGAAACTCGGTGCCACTCTCACCAATGGACACAAACACGAACTTGCTCTTCCACCCATGAATGGACGTAGGCAAATCCGTGAAGCTCCTCTTCTTCGGCAGCTGCTGAAGAGTAGCGTAGGCCGCACAGTTCTTGTGACTTCCTCGGCCTATCTGGTACAAATTCATGAATAGTGCCGTCGTCGGCTGGTAGCCCAACTCCTCACACCGGAGCAGAAACCCCACCATCAAAGAGTAACTGTTCGGCGTCAGCAAGGCCGGAGGAAGCCCTACCATGTCCAGGTACTCAGTAATGAAAGGGTGAAGGGGGAACCTCAACCCCTTGGCAAAACTCATCGGGTATACTCCAAAGTACCCCGGTGGTGGAAGAAGAACATGGTCCGTCGGCTTGGGTGCCCTGACCCGCCCGAACGGACCCACGTACATCTGGGCAACAAGGTAATCGGCCGCACTGCTCTCCGGCTTGATCAGGTAGATGTTGGTGAGATCTAGATAGGAGACGCCGGGCCCACTCTTCGGCCTCCTCACTCTCTTCGGCTTGGCGGCTCCCTTAACGGCGGACACTGGCCTCGGGCACGGAATGACAGCAGGAGTGGACGCCCCGTCCACCACTCGGGACGCACCCACGTCCTCACCCTTTGAAGAAGAGGCGGACTCCTCGTCCTCGCCTTCCTCGTCCATCAGCTCCGCGGATTTGTATGGACTTAAACGCTCTATCTCCTCCTCAAACTCCTCGAGCACCTCGTAGTCAAGCGACCTCGTGGAGGGCTGGTCGTCATAGGGGTAGTAGTCGTCGTTCAAGCTCTTCATTACTACTACTACGGGCTTAAGGAGAACAACTTAAGATCTAAAGGTGTTTAAACGCCTAACACTAGATCAACTACCTAGGAAGCAAAGTATGAAAAGCGAGGAAGATCGTGATGAACACTAACCTCGAACAACGAAGAACAACGAAGAACAGGCTTGAGAGTTTATCTCTCTAGAAAATCAGCCAGCACTTCGACAAATTCAGAATGCAAATGTGATTCCTCGTCGGAGGGGAAGGGGTATTTATAGACCCCCCCACCAACGGTCACTACACGTGGCACTCTCCCAATGGCCACATCAACGGCCACCAATGGGAGGCCACCACGACACCAACGGGCCAGGCCCAAGCCACATCAACGGCCCACTGGCAAACCAGACTATACGGCGTACACGCTCGCCGGCCTCACAAGTACCAGCTAGCGCCCATAACGTCCCATCTGCTTGCCAATATCACAAATGCCAGACAATAAGGAGACGACAACGGCCAGGAACGTAACGGCCACAAGATCAAAGGACCCAAGAGCCCAAAAGCCATCGGCTCCTCGTAAATAACCCTTGATGATAACCCTCTACAAGCGATCTGCGCACAAGGGTTCTCCCACAGGGTTACCTTGGCCAGAAAATCGCCATGAGGGTTGGATTCAGGGGGACTACGGCGAGACCGCTTCGGCCGGGGACTCAAGGAACTCCTTCACCCCTCACACTCTTCGGCCTGAAGCAGTGGGGGACTGGGGGACTACACCGGCCTCAACAAAACAAAAGAAAATGCAAACAAGGTAACCACAGAGCATGGCCACATCGGCCACGCATCACACTGCACCTCGTCGGTATGCACGCAACGTCATCTGCAACGGCCAACGGGTCACCAAAGGCAAGGACACTCATCGTCCTCCGCCAACAATTGACTTTGACGGGCTCTTCGGCCAAAAATATGAAGGCCAATCAGCAACGGCCAAAAGGAGTGCGCAAACATCCTCATCGGCCACATAAAGGAAAGGACGCCATCGTCCTCAAAGCAAGGAATAACTTCAGTGGCCTCATCGGCCTGAACACAAACTTCAACCATCAACGCCCAAGCAAACGTGCCTTTCAACGGCCACCATTGAAAGAAGGACACTCATCGTCCAAGAACAAAGACATCAAGTAAACGACGGCCTCCCTGTCTACAACAAGGAACAGATAACGGCCAAGGGCGCCAAAGCAAAGGAATCTACTCTCCTTCACTTCATCTACGTCTCAGCTTAGAGAGGGGGGGGGACTCCTGATGGAGTATATGGGTCTGAGCCCCCGAACCCACGTACTCGGAAGAATAGAAAGCACAAGGCACAGAGTGGCGCCCTCGTCGGCCATGACGCCCCCGTCGGCCGAGAAGGGGCCAACTCGGATTATGGTCCTGAGTCCAAGGGACCCGGGTGCCCTCGTCGGCCGTGCCCTCGTCGGCCGTGCCCTCGTCGGCCACGCCCTCGTCGGCCAAGAAGACCTCCCAGAATCGGATTTTACTCTTACTCATTTGAACAGCCCATTAGTGGCTTTGTATTCGGCCCAGTAGCGGTCCAGTTGTAAATGGGTCTCCCAAGCCCAAGGCTTGGGAGCCCAACCCTAATTTTCTCTATAAATACTCCCCTTGGGAGTAGTTATAGGGGTTACGAATTCATTCTATTGAAGCATATTATTGCACTTCTCTCTCTAGCTCTCACTTCTCTCTAGATATAATCTATCAATATACTTAAATGATATTTTTGTTGGTAAATGAGTTTACGTGATAGATTAATAATAGTTGAAGGCCTATTTGACACCTTTTCTTATTAATATAAAATTGATAATTTTTAACAAGTGTTACAATTATATTTATTGTGTATCTAATTTCAAATACATTTTAAATTTTGTTAGAAATGTAAGAAGTACACTTTAGAAAAATAGCTTTAAATTCTATGTTTATAATGTGTTATCAATATTAATTAAATATGTCTGAAATTATTTACCCTTTACAAATAAATTTTAATATACAATTATATACCCAGAGTATAATTTAGGTTTGAGATATTTACTAATATATGACTAAAACATTGACAATTTCAATAAAATTTCACTTTTTTTAAAAAAAAAAGACTAAAACATCGACAATTTCAGAATATATGATTATTACTTTTGTACATCCCAAAATATGATTAAATATTAGTTTTATACAAACCAAACACTATCATATTGAGAAGAAAAAAAATAGAAGTCATATTTTGGGAAACACATTAAATTTTAGTCATATGTGGGTTAATTTTCTCTTTAGGTTTTCATTTTTAGTCAATCTTGACCGGATTTATCTGTGTTGGCCGAGATCAGCCGGGTCCTACTTGAGCCGAGTCGCTCCCCATCCTATTCTTACAACATAGGTTCAGTTTGATTTCATCAGCTCTGTCTTCCCTTTTATCGTACCCGTATATCAATTTGGTCGGCTTCAACTATCCGACTGACTTGGCTTGGCTTGGCTTGGCTTGGCTTAGCAGACTCACATCTCAGCTCAACCTTCCTCTCTTCAAATAACTTCAACTCCAATTAGGTTCCCTCCATTTCTCCTCTTCCCCACTCCGCTCTTTCCCTTTACAAATCTCTCGTTCTCTCTCTCTCTCTCTCCCCATGAAAAATGGGATTGAATGCTCCTCTGCTGCCGCTAAAGCGTGAGGCTCAAATTTCCGAGTTAATTTGTGAGCAGATTTTCTGATCAGTCCTTTTATTTCTCCTTCTTCTTTTTCAGCCCCTACCTCAAGCCCTATTTTCGTATCATTCTTAGATCTCTGCAACTGAGCTGTAAGGAACTAGATCATCCGTGATGAATTCTCAGGTTTTGTCCCCATCCGTTTTTATGATTACTTATGTTTGGTTTTCTCTGCTGTTAGGGAGTATCTCCTTCTTCATCTTAGTCTCCCTCTCTCTCATTCTTATATCACTGATACCCTTAACACTTAGCTGGGCATGCCATGAGGCATGAGAATAATGTACAAGTTAGGAAATGATAATGATGTATACATATTACCATATGATGCGCATTAACTCTATTTCAGAGTTGTATTTATTATGAGGCTGTCTTGGATAATCATATGAGCAAAATTGTATAGTCGTATTAACTTCAGTGTTTATGGAAATGTATTGACTTGATGGACCAAGCTTGGTGTACCATGCATGTGCCTCGAATTCTTAGTTCAAGTTATTGGTGCCTTTTATCCGTATTTGGATATGAAGTCCTCCTTTTGAGTATATTTTAGCAAGTTTGGGGCTTGGGCGGGATTATTATGTTTTTATTCACTACATTTTTGTATTCATTGTTGTGCTTCAAACAGGTTGGATCAATGAGTGGAAAGGCCGGGGCTGGGAATGTGTTGGACTCCTGGAGTTTTAACAGTGCGTGTAAATCCATAAAGAGCAGCACCTTGCAGCATTTGTTTTTTGGTTTTACCTTATCTTTGCCATATAAATATAATGCTTTTTGTTATGCTTACAGTAAGTAGTGTATGTTGTTCTTTTAGAAACCTCATTGGTTGCCATAAATATAAGAGCTAGTTTTATTAGAAATTTAGAAGTTATTGATATTTAATAATCACAATTGCATAAACCGAGACACTGAGGTCTTTTCATATTGATTGAAGATGGTTTGACTAAGCAAGGCATTGCTGACACCGATGCACACTTTTAATGCTATTAAAAGTCCTAAGGAAAGGGATAACACGAGGCATTAGAATTGCTGAGTGCAAGATCCAGGAGTTAAAGAACTTAAGGCATGAAATGGCAGAATTTGATAAAATAAGAATGTAAACCATAGGAAAAGAGAACTCTCCCGGTGGCTTCAGTATCTTGAACAACCAAATTGGTTCCATAGTATCTGGTACAGAAGAAACTCTTTCTGTTTTCCGTTGGGGTCTGCTTTTTGACCAAAGTTCTAGGTTCCTATATGGGGCTATATGGGTTCAATTTGAACAGATTAATCATTTAAATGGAGAACTTCGCAAATGGCTCATGTAGATTGAATTTTGAAAATAACTCTTCCGATAAGGTTTTGTAAAGTCTAAGCATTGCCTTAGTCATTGTGAGGTTGATATAGCTTCAGACTTGGCCATCAAAAGGCACATACCTTGAGCTTTTATTTGTAGGCCTCCTTCTAGTTTGCTTAAATCATCCAAAGCCCAAGTGGAACCAGCTTGGTTCACTAATAAGTTCTATGATCAACAATGATAAAGTTTGGGCATGGAGATGGATGGGCTATGCTTCCCATTATGAGTTCATATACTGATCGTCATTTAGTAATCCCTAATCATGATGCGGTCACTATGTCATTCTAGAACCTGCCGCTATTCTGTCCATGAGCTGTACAACCTTATCCATTTTTACTTATTAGATAAATAAAAGAAAAAAGTGCCAAAAGAACTTCAAGGTATAACCACTGAGGAGGAATTTTTCATTGTATAAGATGGTAAGCCCATTTTTGTCCCATTTTTCAAGGTGAGGCCTTCTCTACTACATGATGTTGAGTAAAAAACTAGATGATATCATTAATATGAAACCTTTCATCTTTTTCATTGAAATTGCATGTGATGTAATTATTTAAGCAATCTAAGATTTGTTTTTTTCATCTTCTTTTACTGACTGCAGATATTGAACCCAAATCATTCACTGTTTTAGATGGCTCAGTCCTTCCAAGCGTAGATTCTATGGATATGGGAATCGGATCCTCAGAGCAAGGAAATGCTATTACCACTCCAAAACCAAGGAAAAAGACAATTACATCTGTATACCTCAAGTATTTTGAAACAGCTCCAGATGGGAAAACTCGGAGGTGTAAATTCTGTAGACAATGCTATTCCATTGCAACTGCTACTGGTAATTTCTGTTGAATCTTGTTTCCATCTCCCAAAGGAAATGAATACCTTGCTCTTATGCACACCACTAAGCACTTGAATTTTGAAGTACAAATATTTGTAATTTTGTGCTATTGTTAAGTTTCATTTTCACCAATTCTTAAGTGTGCCAAGGCTCCCATTGACTTCAATTTATGATCAAGAACATAATTTTATATCTCACACTTAAGAAGTGGAACTTTATTTGTGTGCAACTGGTCTCCATTGTGTAAGCTTGCTAAAGGTGTGGATACACTCTACATAAGTCAATGTGTTGTATTGACTCTCTCTTTCTCACTCAGGAAATTTGGGAAGACACCTTAGTAATCGCCACCCAGGATATGACAAAGCAGCGGTGTTTGTTGGCAGTGCTGCTTCAGAACTAGTCACAGTTGCTAAGAAGCCTCAGTCTCAAGCAAAATCACCTCAATTAGAGTTTGATCATCTAAATTGGTTGCTCATCAGGTGGCTCGTTTCAGTATCCCTTCCTCCACATGCAGTCGGAGATAAGTGGCTTGTAAACTCCCTGAAGTTAATAAGTCCATCATCACAACTTTGGTCAGGAGAGAAGTTCCAAATGGTAATTCAAGAAATTTATAGAAGCATGCGGGAAGATCTAAGATTGATCTTGGACCAAATTTCTTCAAAGATTTCTATAGCTCTTGTGTTCTGGACTTCTTATGAGCAGATACCTTATATGAGTGTTACTTGCCAGTGGATCGATGAAAACTGGTTGTTTCAGAAGGTTCTCCTTGATGTTTCTCGAATTTCTTGCCCTTGTGGGGGTCCTGAAATCCACCATGCTCTTATGAAGGTCCTCAAGCTCTATAATATTGAAAACAGAGTCCTTCATCTCACATATGATACTACTGAGCACGCATGCCATACACTTAAAGATGACATGGATATTCAGAAAATGAACCAGTATTGCTATCTTCCATGTGCCGCTCATGCATTGAACTCAATTGTGAGTGATGGATTGAGATGTACCAAGTCAATACTCTCCAAGGTTAGGGAATTTGTACTACAGGCAAACACGTCTTCCAAAATTATGGAAGAATTCGTTCACTTTTGCCATGCTTATCGAGAAGGAAGCTGGAAGAACCCACTTGATGCCTCACACCGTTGGAGTGGTAATTACCAGATGCTTGATATAGCACACAAGGTATTTTTTTGTTTCCACTAATCTAAAATTGTTCATACATTGTGATTTGTCAAACTTATTATACGCTTGTCTCCCATTATTTTTTTAAGTATATTGTGCAGCCCTTTTAGACAAGTGACTTTTTTTTACATAGACAAGTGGTTTATACTTGCATAATTATTATGAGTTCACTAGGTACTAATTACACTACATGAATTTGCTCAAATTATTACTAGCGTATTTGATTGCTTCTTGCTCAAGCCATTAAACTTTTCAGTCCATAATTTCTCATGACCAACAAACACATTCCCAACCCTACTCTAGAAGAAAACAACATAAGGAAATAAATCGGAAAATAACAATCTATTTATGATTTTTATTTACCCCGGGGAGGTCAGAGGTAGAGGGGCTGGGGGGAAGCCTGGGGTATACAGCGCTGAAACTCTCTCCATGGATTTTCGAACCCGAGACCTCCTGTATGAGAAAGTGAGTCGGCGACCAGCTGAGCTGGGCTGTTTCCTCAACAATCTATTTATGAATTATTTTATGTAATATTCTGGGCTGCATTACGTGCTACAGGCAGTAAAATCAATGGAGACAATTGTTCAGAAGTATGATGAAGAGCTGGGCAGTAGGCTGCTGCTTAGCACTGCAGAGAAGAATGCTGTCAATATCATGCATGCGTATTTAGAACCATTTTACAAGACTATCGATAACATATGCACCAACAAAATGCTAACTATTGGATTGGTTCTTTTCTTCATGGATCACATTTATGAGATGATATCAACCTGCATAGACTCCCGGCATAGCCCTGGTTGGCTCAAGAGTGCTGCTGAGGACATGTCCACACATGCCCGGAGCTATAATGACCAAGTGTGCAATGTTTTCATATACATGACTGCCATTCTGGACCCCCGGATAAAGGCTGAACTCATTCCGGATAGTCTCAATTCCAATGTGTTTTTGGAAGAAGCAAAAACCTATTTCATCAGAAATTACTCTTCCACCTCTTCCTATCAATCCATAGCCAGTTCATATGTTGCTCAAGAGCTTGAAGCTGAAGAATATGTTTCGTTTGCTGAGGAAATTGCTCGTAAGAAACGCAGGGCTAGCATGCCCTCTTCTGTAGCAGATGAGCTCACCCGCTACTTATCGGAGGGTCCCGCTCCAATGTCCACAGATGTCCTGGAGTGGTGGAAAGTAAATGGTACTACTTGCTATCCCAGGTTGTCTCTGATGGCTCGTGACTTCTTAGCTGCACAGGCAACTGCAGTGTTACCTGAAGAGCTGTTTTCCAACAAAGGTGATGAGATTGATAAACAGCGGTTTGCTGCAGGGCATGAGACTGCTCAATCTATGCTTTGTGTGAACTCTTGGATTGAAAGGGGGTTCAAACTCAAGTACGAATCAACTGAGATTGATTTTGAGAGGTTGGTTGAACTAGCAGCAGCTGAGCATCCCTCCACATGGTCTAGCAAGAAACACAAATGACAAGCAATGAACGGAACTGAAATGCTAATTCACACAAAGACCTATAGATGTCAACATTTTGTGCAGATGGGTAAAGCTGTTACAGTATCATTTCAAGCTGACGGGTAGGAAGAAAACTAACCACAAGTGACAAGTATTGCTTTCTTTAAAATATTTTGCAACTGGGTAGCGGCTTCCATGTGTTCTGGGTTCATATAGTTGGTTACTAACAAAAGTTTCAAATAACCATTCCACTATTTAAGATCATCGCTTAAACTTTTATACTAACAAAAGTATGGTTGAATCACACTTATTTTGAAAGAACATTCAATCGGACTGTTTTTCCAGTATTTAAGTCACTTTTTAACTTTGAGCAGATAAAAAAAATGGCAGTGGCAATGTGGCATAGGAAAACAACAGCCTGAAACCCGGATTTTCTTTTCTTGGGCCCATCTCAACCTACATGTCATTGTCATCTGGGTTATGTTAAACTAGATTCTATTAAACGTATGATGAATTTGAATTTAATTCTCATGCACTCTTTTGATACGACTAAGAAATGTCTTGTATGTATAAGTGTATAACTAATAAACAAGTAAGAAAATCTTATTATAGAAAATCTGTCATTCCTTTATTTACTTCATACGTAAATTTTAATGAATTGCTTACTTGTGCTTGAAAGAATACGATGCTTTTTTTAATACTTGTATATGTATGTATCTACTTGATATTATGCTCAACTCTCTCCTATACGAGAATACTATTTTTTCATCCAAAAAAGGAACATAATACTTTCATAGTTTCATAGGTGTGGAACATGAGTATGATAAACCAATGAGTGAATAGAGAGTCATGTCATCATACAGCATACAGCATAGCTTTTAAATCCCTTCAAGTTCCAATACTATCAAATGAAATAAAATGCTATGGAGTACAACATCGTCTTTAATTATCAGGGAAAGAAATAGGCAAACAACATGAAATTACATTATTGTCTTTCTGTAATTAAAGTTTTTGTTAAAAAGGAAAATAGTGTATTTCTTTCATCCGGTTCCCAGACCCCGGCCTGCGCTTATTATGCAAAAGTACTTTTTATGAAAGTACTTTTAACAAAGCAAATTTTCATATCATTTCAATATTAATCCATAAATATTTTTCAATAATAATATAGTTGGTCAAAATTTTAAGGAGAAAATAATTTAAATATCACAAACTTTGAAGGGACGGAACGGGCCCGGGCCACCCGGGCCGCCTGGGCCGCCCGGCCCACTACTGTGCGGGCCCAGCCCAACCCAGTCTTGGGTAACCGGTTCCGGGCCTAGGCCCGGTCCGGGGATTGGGTCGGGTCAGGTACGGGCCTTCAATTTAGTGAACCGGCCGGGCCGGGCCAGGCCAGGCCCGATTCAGGCCTTTTTTTGTTTTTTTGGGTTTGGGTTGGGTTTAGTTGGACTGGACTGGGTATTTCCGAGGGGTTTGGGGGTGGGGGGATGGGGGTGAAATAAATAAGCAAAAAAAAAAAAAAATTGAACCGAAACCGGCCCGGCCCGGAACCGCCACCTACCGGGCCAGTTCCGGTTCACCCATTCACAAAAAAAGGCCCGGCCCAAAACCGGTTTGGCCCTGGTCCATCAATACATGTAATATATATACTTCAAACTTTATATAAAAAGTTATGATAGCATCATAACCATACATTTTTCATAAATGTAATTTTATAGTGTTGAGTACAAAATTTTAATCACACAACATTTATGAGGATGTAATTAAAATTAAATTGTACCAGATGAAATATTTTTTTTACACAAATGAAATTATAGAATTTTAATTGCATTCTAACAAGGCTTAAGGTATTTTAAATTAGATAATTATTCCAATAAATTTGTATTTGTAAAAAACATATAATGATGATACAAAAATAACTTTTTATATAAAATTCGAGGTATATATTACATATGTAAGTTTGGGGTACATACCTCACATCCCATTAAAGTTTGAGATGTTTAAATTATTTTCCCCAAATTTTAAAGATTTGACAATTTTTGGAATGGAGCCATGGAGGTAGTATTAATATACGACAATATAGCAAGAAACGGTCATCTCTTTAGATTAGACTTAAACAAATCAAACAACTTTAAACAGACCAAACCAGACCGAATCAGACTATTCTTCAACAGTTGTAAAGTACATATGGACCAAACAAATATTAGACCAGACTTACACATATAAGATCATAGTGGAATTAAAACATCTTTGGAACCTGAATGCTGAGCATCAGAGTGGCAGAGTACAAACCGTTTTAGTATTTACTTCGTATTTATCTTTTTCACAAGATTGTTCATTCATTCTATGATAAGTGAAAATTTGTCATTATTTTTCTAATAACAATACATATAAATCAATAAATAAATTCCTAGTAAAAACTGCTAATCAGATAGATGGGAATGTCAAAACTAGCTCATCGTCCTATTCTATCCTATACCAATATATAGTAGTGACATACTGACATGTATGACTTGCCTGTTAGTAGGGATGGACCGGTTCCGGTTCGGGCCCGGTTCACCTTTTGAAGGGCCCGAGCCCGAACCGCCATCCCACCGGGCCGGGTGGCCCGAACCGGCCAACAACCGGTTCACCGGGCCGGTCCGGGCCCGTACAGTAGCGGGCCGGTCCGGTTCCGGGCCGGTTGGCCCAGCCCGAGTCCACTCCTACCTGTTAGGCACAAGTGCGACTACACACCCACACCCTAGTACCCTCCCATTCAGTAATATTATATCTCGGCTGAGGAGAAAAATGTATATGAGCTTGAACATAATAATACTATAAGAAGAGATGCTCCTTTCCGTACTCGCGAACAATCACAGGCACACTGGTGGTGGGTACCTAAATAAAAATAAATAAACCATAAAAAATTTTAATAATCATGATGATGACCATAAAAGGACGTCCCCGCAAGGTAACGGTCCGGAGAAAGGTCCCGTCACAATGGTGTATTAGGACTTAGGAGTAAGTCTTCTATGTCATTTGGGATATTAAATCGCTTTTTGGAAGCAGGGTCAACGAAGGAGAGAGCCACATGTGATTTGGGATATTAAATCACTTTTTTGTCCAGGTAAAAATGGTGATATTTGCCATTCTTTCAAATTATTTTACACAAAACTAAAATGAAGTGTGTCATATTTGCAGGGACTTAAAACATATTTAATCCATTAATTAATTGTCTAAAACTACTTGACACAGGAATACATGAGAGAAAAACAGTGGTAAAGGTCACTTCAAGCTTCCAAAGGAGAAAAATCACATTTATGTATGGTGTCCTATCAGGAGTTTGATAACGATTAACCATGTCGGTTGCACACTACCAAAAATAAAAAACAGGAAAAATTATACTCTGGAAGCTGTCGGTGGGAGCAGAATCGCTTCCTCTCAAAGAGTATGTTATTCATCACATTGGAATATAGAACAAGAAAAAGAATACATGCTAAATTGATGATAATAATAAAGCCCTTACCATGCCATAATCTGTTATGATCATTGAGATGTAGTCTGATGGAGTAGCATCGTAACTGTCAGAATCATTCAAAAGCAAGTGCATTTAGTAGCATACCAAAACATAAAAGTTTGACTCTCCTTTAGCGTGAAGCCACAAAAACTTACACTAAATTTAAAATCTGAAGATTTTCTGTATCGGTCCAATTCTTCAAATAATTGGCACCTAATCTTTTAGGAACCAGGGAAACTGCATTCGGATTCCCTGAAAGTTTTCAACATGTGCATTAGCTAAGTTTCCACTGACCCTCTACACGTTAAACCAAAACTCGAGAGATCAATGGGAAGGCAAAATACCTAATTCATTGCAGCAAATTGAATCAAGCATCACCCGCTTACTAAACTTATAAGCTTCACAGCAAACCAGAACAGGAACACGGAAAGCATGAGCAACCATTGAAACACATGCACTCCCCACTTTTGAGTACACAGTACCATTAGCTAATATAGATGCTGCTCCCAGGAAAACCGTTGAGACTTCATGCATAATGTAAGAAACAGCACTTATATGAGTGTATGCACAGTTGATTCCCTTCTTTAGCAGTCTTTGAAGTAGTGCTTGGCCTTCAAGCATGGGGCGAGAGTCTACTATGACAACTTGAAATCGTTTTCCGATCTCATAAGCATGTAATATAATCATCTCAACAACAGATGATGAACTGTATGTTAGAATGACATCACCATCCTTGATTTTTTTGACACCATGTCCTATTATTACTTTATCTGCTGAAACTATCTTCTCATTGATGAAACCATCTATATCTGAAAACAAATTTTCCTTTACTTCTGATTCGGATAATGTGTGAGGTAACTTGGCTATACGGCCCCTTAAAAACTGAATTGCATTACCCATACTGATTGATAGTGGCCTGCATTCGTCAAAATATGAAGCATAACTTTTGATCTTTGAAATTATATCACTAGTTACGAATGTTTTTCCCTGGGGAAGGGAGTAGTCGTTAATGGCTTCCTTAATTGCCTGAAGCATAGCAACACAGCGTGCATTACTCCCAGAAAGATCTCCAGCCAAATGTTGTACCCCGACCTGATTGAGATAAAGCATATCAAATTTTAAGCCAACCAATTTTTTATCTGAAATTGAAGCAACATATAACTCAGTTCACATACAAGGTAAAAAACTAACGCGTCCTTCATCCCTTTTGTATTCACTCTTCCCTTTTTCATCCATCCTTAATTTATGTCCTGTTTCCTTTTCAGGGAAGGATCTTCTGGTTGGTATTGTTTCTCTTTCTTCTAAAAAAACATTAACCACACAATTTCCACTTTCTAAAAAAGTGTGTGATGTCAAATTAGGAGATAATAGAGGGACTGAGATACCACCCATGATCGGCCAGAACCTAGTGCCCAGCTCACACGGCACATATAACTAACAATACATTATTTCCTAATATAAAAATTGAAGTTTATATTTTCGATTCCTGATTTAAAAAGTTCATGCAGACTTACAGAACAAAAGTTATATGATGATATGATTCTTCTATCATCCAAAGGAGGGGAATGAAAGTGTACCTTGTATATAGCAGGATGCATTGAATCAAGCTGGAAGAATTTTGACTCAAGATCATGAAGCTGAGTTCCATGTTCATACTGACGCAAATGCAGAAACATCTCTACTCTATTTCTAGATTCCGTTTGTTTAAGTAATGCACGCTTTTTGGCCTTTGCTACACGGCCCTTATCATCAAACTGCATGCGTGGTGCAGGAATATCATTTTTCCTATCTTTCACCAGTGTTTGGTTACTTCTTTTCTTCTCCATGGTTGATGAGGTTGACATTATGTTGCTATCTTGCTTATGTGAACTTTGCTTCAAAACTTTTGGAATTTCTTCACTTTTTTCACATACTGAAGCTGGTGATCCCCCAACCGCAGGTTTATTGCCAACAGCTAATATAAACAACCAAAAATTAGAAAAATCCAGGCACTTGTTATGCACAACTAGAAGACATGGTATTCTGTACCAACAGTCAATAGTAAATAAAACCTCAAGGTTGGAATGTACAATGTAGTTTTTGAATAGTTCTAAAACAATCTCACTAAGTTACATTTTGGAGAAGGTAACTGTTTGTACAGCATAAAAAATTTCATTACATTTTTTGGGACATACCATTCCACCATTTACCCTCCAGTAAATCAAGTAACTGTGCAAGAAAGAGTACCCATATTCTTTTTCGATAAACCTTACAATGAATTTGAGAATGGCAGACATCGAGTCCTAACTGTACTAAACACAGTTGCAGAAAGTGCTAATGGTGAGTGGTGACAGGTAGGTGTTTATACATGGAGTTTGGTGCCTAGATGTTCTCACATATAGGTCTCATCAAATCATAACTCAAATAACTTCCAAAAGAATGGATTCTCAAAAAAGGGTCCAGCCACAAGGGTGTATTAGGGGAAGCCTTGTCAATTTTTTACAAGAGGCGGCTCAAGCACACAACAACACTGTAACCGGTGCACTAAGGCTACCCCTCAAAATGGAATCTATATAAACAGAATAAGTGATCGTTACTTTTGTCCAATAGCCATTAAAACATTGACTATTAGGGGCACATAGCAGGATAGTGATCCCCAAGAGACTTTAAAAGGCTGGTTTTGATATTTTATCTTTGACATAGGGATGTTCATCACCAAGAGTCTAGGAGGCAACTATGAAGAGGTCGACACCACTTCGAAAAACTAAATAAGGTGGCACGGAGCTAATAGGATGTTTCTGCCAGCAACAGAGAACCTTAATAAAAATCCATTCTTGACAAACTTCAAGGATGCACTTATCTCTGAGTATAAATGTGGCAACATTCTACCACTGGAAAGGGAGGAAGTGAACCTCTTGAAGCAGCTTTGGCAGCTCTTTGAGCCTCCTGGAGAGCTCTCCTTTCTGCTTTTGTAGTTTTCTCTTTTTGCTGCTTTGAGCTTTCTTGCACTTGTTTCGGCTTCTCCACTGCTTTTTGGCCACCATCGTCTGTAATTTACAGTCAATAGGTTTATGATTGCTTATAATAAAAATATGTGATCTGTGTATTCTGTCAAAATATTAAGAATTCCAAACAACCCCGAACTAAAAATATGTACCAAGAATTCTACTTGGTACACCTTACAAAATGCTGCTTCTACTTAACATGAATATTGATCACAATCGTATTATTCATTTACACAAACAATCAACTGCCTTTGAACTGTGTTCTCGTTATGTAATGTCCATACGTGGGCAAGTAAATATTTATCTTCCCAGACTTACTAACCTAGTATAACAATTTCCAAGTAAGTACTTACTACTCAGAGTAAAGGATAGACTCGCTACATCATTGATTTTAGGCTTTCAAGTACAAATATACAATCTAAACAGTTAAGGATAAGAAGAATCATAACTCAACATTTCCTGGACCATATAATTGAATTAAGTTTGCTCCATAGTCCTGTGATTTTTTCTTTAGTGCTTTCAAATTTAACACATTTGAATAATGATAATAATAACAATAGTAATACTTCTAGTAATAGTCAAAAAGCATTTCAGAGTAACCTCAGAAAGTCCACAAATATAAGGTAGACACAGGAATCAGTATACCATTGTCAGATATTCCACCACGCTTCGAAGTGCTGTTGGGGCCAGCCAACTTGTCTGCGGCTGTGGTATGTTCAGAGCCGACGTTGCACAAAGCCGGGAGTAACTTCTGCGAATCTTCGGGGAGAATCCAGTTAGCCGAGTCCATGGAGAACTCACCAGCTACTAGGCCGATTCCGCTAGACGTCGGTGAGCTTCCGGCAACAGTTTGGGAGGCGTCGTAGCTCCCGACAACTAACTGCGCATCGTCCTCGCCGTCGCCCTGCGAAATCCGCATGGAAGCTGTGGCGGGAACCGGAATGCCTGCGGAATGGGAAGCAGCGTCGGAGTCGCGGAGAGGGTGAGGAACAATCATCACGGGGGACAAGATGGTACTTGAAGACTGCAATATTGACCGTGGATCTTCGAGCGGATCAGAATGGGGTAATTGAGGAGGTAAAAAGCCCACCCGGCGGATCATCGGGAAATTTGGCCGAGAAGCTAGGCGAGGGTCCATATACAGAGCTGAGCGGCGATCGGCGAGTAGGTTTTTGATTGGGGAGTAGGTTTTTTGGTTGGTGACATGTGGGAATAAAAGGCGCCATTATTAACGAATGAAAATGCTTCTTCCGCGTGCGGGGATGCAAATGCTTTCTCCATTAATCGACAACCAAATTACCGAGTCATCAATCGAAAAAGAAAAACCTAAAATCGAATAACAAATTTAGAAATATATTTATAATTGACAAATTTAGTTATGAAAAAGTTCATAGGATTAATTAACAAAATAAATTTCGAATGAAAGTTACCTCTAATTTAATTATGAAAAAGTTCATAGGATTAAAACAATTTGAAAATTTCAAAATAGGTTTACCATGTTTTTATTCTCAAAATAGGACTGATTACTGCCATGTTTAGATTACTGTCATGTTTATAAAATAGGCTAAAGGGTCAAATAGGTCCCTGTACTCATATCAATAGCTCAATTGGGTACCCGAACTAAAAAAAGGTCCAATCCAATCCTCCAACTCTTCAAAATAGTTCAATTTTTTCGTTTAGCCGGTAAGACAACTTTTTAATGTTGAGTCAGCAGGTTAAGTGCCAAGTGTTATCTTGACTTATGCAAATACATTACGACGTGGACGGAATGCTTGTCTAGACAAAACGAAAAATCTGGAAGAAAGAGGGAAGAGGGAAAATGCGACGATGAACAGTGACGAATCAACGAGGACAACGAGTGAAAGGCGAAGAGGGAAGAAAGAACGCTGAAGGACGAGCGACAATAAACACAAGGTACCAATTAAAGAATGGAGGAGAAAGTTTGAAAAAATAGATACCCTAATTGTGTGGTTTCTTGACATTGAGGTTGTGAACTGTATGTATATGTGTTATATATCTGGTGTGTATGTTTGTTTTGTATATGTGTTGGTTATTTGTTTAAAAATGTTATATTTTTCAGAATGTGGGAGACTTTGGATTTAATTGTACACTATGGTGGAAGTTTTGAAAGGGGCAGACAAACGAGGTATGTGAATGAGAGTATTGAGGTTATTAAGAGTGACCCAGATGTCATTTCTTATCCTCATTTGAAGAAATATCTTGAATCTGGGCCATTTGGATGTGTAAAAGAAATGTTTTTTAAATTGCCATATGAACCATTAGAAGCATTAAGGAAATTAGTGGATGATGCAAGCACTTTGGAGTTGGTCAGTTTGTGTTCTAGTGTAGGAAAGTGTGACCTTTATGTAGATCATGGGGATGGTGTTGGTGCTGACACACATAATATGGATACAATGGAAACAGTTGGGTTTGTTGATGAAAGGGATGACACATACATGAGTGATGAACCTGATCTAGATGATGATATTGGATCCTTACATGGTGATGAAGATGTAGAAAATGTTGATGGGAATGACTCTGATGAATTTAATGGGAGTGACAATGATGAGTCTGGGGTTGGGATGAACCACTTATGCAATGTGGAAGTGCAATCATGTCATGAAGAACATGTGGTGCGGGGACAGTCCAAGAAAATTAGAATTGAAAGTGCACATGAAGAGGATGTTGAAATTGATGATACAGATGATTTATATTGTTCAGACAACCCAGCTACCTATACTTCTGAAACAGAGTCACTCAATGAAGGGGAAGTCCAGTCTAAGAAGAAGATTGAAGTAGTTTCATACAATCCCCTATCTGATCCTCCTTCCATTGAACTAAGGATGCTTTTCGAGGATAATATTCAGTTTAAGAATGCAGTGATTGCATATGCAGTGCACTATAAAAAGAACCTTTACTTTAAGAAAAATTCAACGCACAGAGTTTTGGTAAAATGTGCAGGAGAGAATTGTCCCTTCTCTTGTTATGCCAGTTGGGAGGATAGGTACAAGTGTTTCCAAATCAAGAGTATGGTCATGACTCACAAATGTAATAACAAATTTAAGTTAAGGATTGTTAGTCAAAAATGGTTGGAGGACAAATATGAGGAAAAAATCAGAGATGAACCTTCCCTCGGGTATCCTGGTTTGAAGGAGCATATTGAGTCTAAGTTAGGCATACATGTATCAACAAGCATGGTAAAGAGGGCATTGAAAGCAATTAAGCAGAAAATAAATGGAAATTTTGAAGAGCAGTTTACTAGATTGAGGGACTATGCTCAAGAATGCCTCGACTCCATTCCTAATAGCACCATGAAGATTCTCACTACCAGAACAATCCCAGATGGACCTTGCCTTTTTCAAAGAATCTATTGTTGTTTTGGTGCAATGAAGAGAGGATTCCTAGATGGATGCAGAAAGATTATTGGCCTAGATGGGTGTTTCTTGAAAGGTTTATTAAAGGGAGAGATTCTGACAGCCGTAGGAAGAGATGCTAACAACAACATGTACCCAATAGCTTGGGCTGTGGTGGAGATAGAAAACACATCATCATGGAGCTGGTTTTTGGAGTTGCTTAAGGAGGACCTGCAGATTGTTGACAGCAGCCCGTGGACAGTTATTAGTGATCAACAAAAGGTATTAAGTGTTTATTATTACTTATATTTACAGAGCTTTAATATTAGTACCTTTAACTGTGACTTTGATAATGTTTTGTAGGGCCTGATCAATGTCATTCAAGCTCTACTACCTCAAGCAAAGCATAGGAATTGTGCAAGGCACATTCATGCAAATTGGAGTAAGGAACACAGAGGCACATACATGAAGAAACTTTTTTGGATGTGTGCAAGGTCTACTTCACAATCACAACTTCAAGAGTCATTAGAATTATTGGGTAAGAAAGACAGTAAAGCTAGAGAGGATATAGAGAAGTACCCATTCAAGTTGTGGTGCAAAGCATTTCTGAGAACATCTGTTAAGTGTGACGCTGTAGACAACAACATGTCGGAGGCCTTTAATCGTACTTTGATTGGATGTAGGAGCAAATCCATAATTCCAATGTTGGAGGACATAAGGGTAGGAATGATGACACGAATTGCTATGAAGAGGCAACATGCAGGAAGATGGAAAGGTAACATATGCCCTAATGTTAAAAAAATATTAAATGGAAACATTATGAATAGTTCAAAGTGGAGGCTTGTTTTTAATGGAGATGATGGTTATGAGGTGAAGAGAGGGAAATACCAATACAAGGTAAAGTTGGAGGGTCAGACATGCTCTTGCAGGTTATGGGACCTCACTGGAATCCCTTGTTCTCACGCCATATGTGCGATGTTTGACTGTGGAAAAGACCCAGAAAGCTATGTTGATGAATGTTATAGTCTTGCTGCTTTCAAGAGAACATATGCACACACTTTAGAACCCATTAACGGTGAAACTGCATGGCCTAATGCAGGTGGAGAAAAGATACATCCTCCCCTTCCAAAGAAAATGTCAGGTAGGCCTAAGAAGAAAAGAATCCGAGAAGAAAGTGAACCTCCTGCTGCAAAAGTTTCTAGAATAGGCCGTGTGATGACATGCTCAAACTGTAAGCAAAAGGGGCATAATAAATCTTATTGTCCAAGTCTTGAAATAGGAGACAATAGTGGAAGAGGGGGTAGAAGAGGTAGAGGTACCAGGAGAGGAGGCAGAAGTGAAAGAGGAGGCACCCGTGGAGGCACTCGTGGAAGAGGAGGCACCCGTGGTAGAGGAGACAGCCGTGGTAGAGGAGACAGCTCAGTTACAACACATTAATGGTGGGAGATGTGAAAGAGTAGTAAAGACATCAATGACCAAGTCTGGGAGTGTTATGTTGTTGTTGTTTTCATTTTGGAGTTATTTTGTTATGTAATATTTTGCTGAATTATTGGTGTAGTACCTACTTTGATTGGTGTATGGTGTTCTACCTACCTTGATATTATTGTGAGGTCTACTACTTCCCTTAACTTTAACTGTTGTCAGGCTATTATTGTGATGTGTACTACATCTCTTTACATTATGGAATGGTGTACTGCCTCACTTTGTTCAATGGATGAAGAGTTTTCTGAATTTAGCAGTTTACTTTAATGTGAAGTAGGAATACTTTTGTGAAATGAATAATGTGCAGGGGCAACTTTAATGTTGAACAATGGGAAAAGAATGCTTTTTATTTGTGCAGGGGCAACTTTAAGGAATAGCTTATGTTGAAAAATTGTTTTGCAGGTTGTTGTATTCATGTTGAACAACTGCTTTGTGTTCTCTTGTTTGTTATTTCATCTAGCCTTTGATCTAGCCTTTGGTGCTCATTACAGACAACTTCATTCAAGTGAACAAAACTCATTCAATACCAGAACAACTTCATGTTGCTCATGTTGAATAAGGCCAATGAATAACTCATTCAAGTGATTATTCAAGTTAAACTGAAATGAATAATTCAGTTTAAGTCATTCAGAAACTTAACAGAAATGAAACTTAACATAAATGAATAATTCATTCAAGTTAACAGAAACTTAACAGAAATGAATAACAGAAACTTCTCATTGTTTTTAAATCCAATTCAGACCAATACTACCCTTGCATAACCAAAGTAAACAAAGTAAACAAAATACTACACTTCCAAAACAATATCAATACACTTGAGAGTGCATCAAAATTCTACACCAGTACATAGCAACCATTACCATCAACTATTACAAAAAGTAGACACCAGTACACCAAAACAACACTGCAATTCATACCAAAGCTTATACTTCCCTTCCCATGAAAGCAGCCACAAAAACTATTACAAAAAGTAGACACATTTTTTTCCAGATTTTCTTCTCTTTAGCTTCCCTGTGGAGGATATTCTTTATCACAGTAATATCACTCTGTTGTGCTAACAGCAGGGCCTTCAAGTCCTCAACTGTGGTTGCTTTGGTTTCTGCAGAATCAAGTTGTGTGACTGCATCATTATCTTTGTCATTTCTTGAGCATACAAGGTCTTCCTTCCAAAGGAAGTACCCACAACCCAACCCATCCTAAAAGAGGAAAACACATAATCACAATTCCAAAAATCAAAAATTTTAATTAATGAAATTCAACAAATTAGTAGAACTATCTTACCTTCCATTTTTTGCATCCGTAAAATTGCCGCCCGCTCTCTCGTGCGGTACACAACCGAGCTCTCAAACCACAAGTGCAATTAACCGAGGGTTCATGCGGCCAACTTTTCTTGCCTGCCGATGACATCGCTGATTCAGACATTAGGAGTTATGCAACTTTTCTTACCTTCGTCTTCCTTCGGTCGTAGCACGCAGGTTTAAGGTCGGAGCACGCAGGTGGGTTAAAAAATTAGGTTTTGGGTGTGCTATAGAAGGATAAGGGTGAGTCAGTAAAATATTTAAATTAAATAACTCTTTTTTTTTGTTGACTCAGCATTAAACGGATTACTAGGAGAGGCAACCGGGAGTTTACCGGCTAAACGAAAAAATTGAACTATTTTGAAGAGTTGGAGGATTGGATTGGACCTTTTTTTAGTTCGGGTACCCAATTGAGCTATTGATATGAGTACAAGGACCTATTTGACCCTTTAGCCTATAAAATACTGTCATGTTTGAAGTCTGGTACTGCCAAAACATGACAGTAATTAGTCATATTTTGGGAATAAAAACATGACAATCCTATTTTGGAATTTTCAAACTGTTTTAATTCTATTTTGAGTAATATCTCTTTAATTATTTAATTGACTTAATTAATTGCCCCCTAATTCCCTTGTATAATTAGATCGGTCGGTTGTGGTGGGAATAATCATTAAGTAATAGATCTATTAAGTAATCTACATTTTATTTTAGGTTTTTAATAATCATCACATTTACACATGAAAAATAGTCTACAAAAATCAAATAATTAAATGTTTTAAAGAATACACAAAATAGCAAACCAAATTACCGAGTCATCAATCGAAAAAGAAAAACCTAAAATCGAATAACAAATTTAGAAATATATTTATAATTGACAAATTTAGAAATATACCGACAATTGAATCGAAAATGAGACTACAATCATTCACAGGTAGAAAACTGACAAAGATGTAATTTCTCACATGTAATCGGGGAATTAACCGAATTCTCTTGCATAAAATCGGAATAAGTCAAATGTGAATGAACACATAGAGCATCAGATGAATCAATTATTCTCTTTGTCAAATGAATGAGAAAGGTAAAATGTAACATCGTAGAAGAGAGGCGTAGAGCATTGCTTTAACCTATGGATCTTTGGACGAAGAAGGATGTGTATAATGTGGTGAGGATTGGGATATGAGTTTATATACTTAGAGTTTAGGAGGAGTAGGTACTTATTTAATACTACGTATACTCCGTATTTAATACATTCGGAATGGGTACTGTTGAGGTTTAATCCCGTAGATCCGAAAGCCCAACACAAACTTTGTATATATCAGGAAATGGGACGATAATTCAGGGTATAAAAGAAATATAAAAGATGATATCAACGAACACTCAAAAGCCCACTTGTATTAAGTAATTTGGCTATTACACGGTAAACTACCCGAACGGTATGTCGGAATAGTAACTGATACAAGAAATCAGAGAGATAATGCTATTTTATGCTTGAGTATCAAAATGCTAACCCTTACAATGAATCTAATCCTTCTATTTATACTAATGGGGGGTATGGGATACTTCATGTTGATTGGTTGCTTTATCTAGCCACTTGGAACCCATGCTCCCACTAGCTGCCGTCATACTTTAGCAATAAATGCCCCCTGCCACTTGTTGGCTACCCGCTGCCCGAACGGGCAGTGGATCCTGCTGGAATCATCATTGATCTGGCCCAAGTTCTTGATTAGTCCGATCCCCGTTCGGTACATTGATCTGGAGTCATCATTGATCTGGCTCATTAATGATCTGGCCCATTAATAATCTGACCCAAATATGTTAATTGATCCGAACCTCGTTCGATACATATTCTCCCAAGAGCTGGTTCATTTCCTAGATGATGGGCCCGTCTAACGGACTGGATATCTTGGGCCTTGGATCCAGGTATTGGGCCTGCGGCCCAATATCCCAACACGAGTCCCCCACTTCCGATGTCTCGAACGGTAGTGAGTGCATTGGGAAGTAGAAGTTACCTGCCGAATGACGATCAAGATTCAGAGTTCGCTGGTTCCCCATGTCATGATTAGTACCTTTCTTGCTGCTGTCATTTGATATTTCCCATAATCGTCATGATTACTGATCTTTGATTCTCCATGCGACACATGTCCCTCCAAATAGTCTAGACGACGTGTCATTACTTGGTTGGTCGTCGATACGGCGTTTGTCAGGCTATAAATTTAGCCTTTAGTTCTTTAGTTCTGGGTTTTCCGAATTATCAAATCCTTCGTGCTTCAGCTCTGCCTTCTCTCTAAACCTTCCTCAAGTTTTTTGTGTCTAGGTACTTTTCATCCCTTACTTTTCTCCTCTTTCTTCGGTCTGGTTGATATGAGTTCTCAATCGCGTTCCTTCGACTCGGAAATGGCTTCCCAAGGGGATGACCATGTTGTTGCCGCTGTGGACGTCATAAAGGTCCCATTTGTTGGTGGTTCAACTGAAGCGACGGCGGAGACTAGGGAGGAGACGGAGGATTCCTCCGTTGGCTCCTCTACAGATGATGATTCTGACGACACGAACTCTGATGATGAACTCATTACGATGGCGGCTGGCCTCCCGGGCGACGTTCCCCGTCACAAGGTGGATTTGAGGCTAATTTGGGAAAGGAGGCAAAAATTGACCTCTCACAATAGGGCCCAAATCCCAGCCCTAATCCCTGATCCAGTTAATTTCCGTCTTCGGGCTGGGCTTCATCCACTGCGACACCTTCCTGGGATGGTGGTGGTCCATCTAGACTCAGTAAAAGCTGGGCTTAGGTTTCCCTTACACCCTTCTTCGTTTCCTTTCTTAATTTTTACGAAATAGTACCGGCCCAAGTTATGCCGAACTCCTATCGGGTAATAGCGGGCTTCATTTGTCGTTGTAAAGATGCCGACGTTATCCCCACCTTAGAGTTGTTCCATCAATTTTTTAAGGTGGATCCCCAACAGACACATGGTTACCTGGCGGCGACTGCCCGGACGGGTCACATTTTGTTTAAGAGCAAGGACAAATGTTGTGATATCATGGGATATCTGACCCCCGATCAACTAGTCAAGACCGGGATAGGTAACGTCCGCTCTCTTGGATCTACTTGTTTAAGAACCAAGTACCATGGTCTGGGCGGTCCTTCCTGTGTGAGAAACGTTCTGTTTTCTTTGTTTCCCACGTGATAAGACCGCTCGGTACTAACATTTTCCTTTGTTATTGTTTCAGCTCCCAATCCAGACGCTCAAATGGATAACAGTCGTGTGCCAGCAGCCGGTGGGGTCGGGAAAAGAATGAAAATGAAGAAGAATCCCAAGTCTAATCCCTCCACCACCACCGATCGAGATGTTGGGTCCTCTCAACCTGTTCAGGAGCCACAACCCATCCAGTAGGTCCCCCATCA